ACAGGCCAAAGAATACCGCTTCGTCCATGGGGAGCAACAACCTGCTGCTGGCTTCGAGCGCGCTGCAGCACGAGTACAACAGATGGTTTCTCAGATACATCGACAAGTTCCTCGACTCCATCCAGGGCGAAACTGGATACGGTGCATGCGAGTTGGAGGTCGCCAGTTTGCTGTGCCAGCTGAAGCGAGTCGACGACTGGTTGAACGACGTCACCGGCAAGGAGGTAACCGAAGACGAAGCAGAAGCGTGCGAGAGAGTGAGAAGGAAGATCTACGGCATTCTGCTGCGGCATGTGGAGAGTGCTGCCATTGCTCTGGAAAGCATGAGCACGCCCGAGGGGGAAATGGACAGGGATCTCATGCTCTGTGGCTAGTGGGTTTCTTGAGCCTGGATGAGCCAAAACCAAGTGTTGATTGCGGATTTATACTTTTACTTTGTGTATCGTGGAAGCTTAGGAGGGAAAACTTTTGGCTTCGGTTTTCATGGTGTTCTGTTCCACTGTTTTCTAACTAGCTTTTTATGCATCTATTTTCCCAAATGTCAGATCGAACACTATCAAATTAATCCTATGACTAACGAATTAGAAAATGCTACTATGTCATATATATTATGTGGCCATATATGTCATTCTGCTAGGTTTATCTACATTGTTATCTTAATTATTGGTGAATGTACCAAATGCGTATGTCTAAAATATTTAAAACCTTTGCTAATATGATAAGATAAAACTATATCTCTGTGAAATACTTATTATGAATATACCAAGTTAGGTTAGTAGTTAATATTAGCATTCACCTGAATATTTGTAAATTATACTTGACACTTAATCGGATGGCATATATGACCAAATATGAAATTTGCCAATGACATCCAGGGATCACAATACTAAAATTTTGGGTGGGTGATGCACAAGAATCCAATAAATAATGTAATTTTAGAATGCTAAAATTATTGGAGTGGAAACTAAATAAATGAATGCTTGATTGTTTGAAAGTGGTAGTTAGCTTAGATAATAAAGATTTTGACAGATCTAAGGTGATAGGCTTAGATCCTACCAATCCATACAATGAAAGAGGCAAAAAAAAAAAAAAAAAATTACTATGCATTCATATTAGAGTCTCTGAGAGAGGGGTTGTAGAAAGCACCTCCCGATCCATACTATGCATTCATATTATATGGCTCAATTGCTTACACCCAATCAGATAGTCAAATGATTGTATAATCATACTATAGCTTTAAATGCACAGGCTGTTATGTGAAGAGAAATCTGCAATCATGATAAGGAATTCAAGCAGCATTAATAAAGTTTTGTTAGCAACCCAAAACCTCTCAGGATTTTGAAAGGTATCTGATGCGTTTTTCCAATCAATAAGTTTTGGTACAAAGAGAGAGGAGAAAAAAAAAGCTTCCTCGAAAATGTAATTGAATTAACTAATTTATTGTTTCCCAACCTATTGAAGTATCAGAACATAAGCTCCCAATCTCCCTGAAAATAACAAAACCTAATTTTGATCACTTAACAAAAAGGAAAGGAAAAGACCAACAAGGCCCCACAAACTTGCCCAGCGATCAACCATGTCTCTTCTCACACGATGGCGGTCAACCATCATCATGAAGATGGACTACCAAGACTGCAATAATAGACATGATGAACTCATACCATCTCAGTTCAAATCCAAACATACAAGGCAAAAGCACTGAGATTTAAGATAGATCCAAATTGCTTACATTGTGTATCAGTTTTCCTACATTGATGTATTAGTAGCATCTTTACTTGAATCATTGTGTCCTTTCTTTTCCTGAAAAAGAAAATTGGGGTAGTTCATGAACTCCAAGGATAGAGCACATAGACATTGTTTACATAACCCAATGATAAATGGTTTGCAAAATCCATTGATATGAAAAAATGGCTTGTTCATGAAACATTATTGCCAAGTGACTGTGCTGGAGACCGACTTGCTGGACACGGTTCACAGTTTGAGAAAACGGCCTTTAAGGATTTGAGCTTTGTGCACAAATACTATACAATTTTTTTGAGTTCTTTGTGTCCGTGCATGTTGTCGATGCTTATAGGAATAAAATTCTGTCATGGATTGCCCTGCTCAATTTGCAAGGGTTAATCCTTTTAAGGATATTTTACTTCAGAAATGTGACAGTCCTGCTTAATTGCTCTGCAGTTCTCATTTTATCACACAAAAAAAAAAAACAGAAGGAAAATGTACTCGACTGAACATATAGATAAGCTAATATGTTTTACGTCAGAAAGGGTGTTTTAACATAATGGTACTCTTAACAGAATGTCAGCAACAATAGACTGTGACCAGGCCTGCTTGATACCTGGTAGTCTATGAACAAATGACTGTGCTTTACCAGTTGATTCCATCTAAGAGAGAATCACACATTTTAACAAACCATTAAATACAACAGACAAGTGACTAAAGATTGGAACTTATATAAGAAATTCCATGACCAGACAATCAAGACAAACAACATATCAATCTGCAATTACATCTTCTACCATAGAGGCCACACTCTTACAAATTATTTAAATGTCGATTTGTCTGACTATTCATATATTTCTTTAAGAAATCTAACTACTCATATCTTATTATTGTGCTAGATGCTTCCAATTAAATACAGTTCCTTTTAGTTTCAATTCACACAAATAAGAATTTATGTCAAATATAATTGTTTGATTCAACATAAGCTTTACAGTGATGACTGGGTTAAAGCACACTAACTGAAACTATTCAATAAATGATTAAATATTTTGGTGGATAATACACTTTCATCTGTCAAGTGCCACCAATTAAGGTATAAAAATTGGAAGAACCAGCACTTCGCACATGTAAAAGCCTCAAAATTATTCTGCAACTTTATTGCTAAAGAACAAGATGTAAGTTCCTAAGGTTGATTTGGACATACTGAATCAAAAAAGAGAAAACCAGATGGCAATTTAAGAGACAATATTCTTCGAATGTTATTGGCAACAGGTCAATATTAGATGAAGCTGGTATTCCATGGTAGAAACAAGTATTCAAAATTTACAAATAGACTTCACACCTAATATCGGAAGAAGGCATGCAACTTCACTACCAAAACATTGATTTGAACAAATTGCCATAGAAATATGAAAAAAGTGGAAGACAAGGACAGTTGCAAGGAAAGAGTTTGCTGTAATTAATGGTGTCATAACAATTCAACATAATACATCACTCATAGGATATTTCAAGGAAAAAAGAGGATAAGCAGATGTACCTTTTTTAACAGACCTTTTGCATGCATGAGCTCATACAGTTTCTGCATAAGCATTTCTTCCTCCACCTTTCACATGAAAAGAAAAATTAATCAGTCAACCTTGTAGAATTAATTACTAAAAGTCAGTCAAGATATATAGTCTAGTAGAAGCAAGAAAATATGAAGCACCTGGAGACGATGCAACTCATGTGACATTGAACGATATGCATCCATGAGGACATCACTTTGTTTCTCCAAATGCCTGAACAGCGTTACATCACATCGAATTGATAATTCAAAAGAATACAATAGCAGCAAATATCCAACCATGCACCCCCAAACTTACTTGAACATCTCTGCCGAGTGCTTAGTGTCCATCTTTACAAAATGCAGCTAAGAATCCACTACAAAATATGCAGCGTGTATTAGACACATCTCAAACTCTAATAAACGTCTAAAGATATTGTTAATAGAAAAAAATCAACCATTTGGGTTTCTTTTTAACACACGGTGGGGTGATTAAAAGTGAAGGTAAAAGTGACCCATCATAAAGGATAAAGAAAAAGAAAAAATTGCAGTCGGAGAAGGTAACGTTTGGCATTTTATTCGAAGATTTACAAGAACATAAACAAACAAAACAGATTGGAACCGACTCGCTCTGCACAAATCTGTCAAATATGCTCAGACGCTCTAGATCACAACACAAATTGAATCCAACCATTTGCATTAAGTAAGACAAGGTTAGAAGGGATCGATCGATGCCTTAAACCAAAATAAAGGGGAACGAAGAGGCGAGAAACACAAGGAAAGACATCATATCAAGCAAAGAATTATGCAAAACAGGTGATCTAGAAGATTCGGATGCGAAAATACCTTCAAACAACGATTTGAGATCGGATGTGGAGCAACAAAAAATCCTATTCAAGTGCTCCGAGGGAACTGTTGCAGCAGCGGGGACGGAAGAAAGCGAGGGTTTGCTCCCACGCCCAAAGAAACGAAGGGGAGGCGCGTATAAGTAGCGTGTGAGCCGAACCCGACTCTTATCTGGGGATGAGACCCACCGAAGATAACAGGTTTCGATGGAAAAGCCCCGACCCAACTTCTATGCGAGTTCGAACTCGCCCTCGACGCCCTCGAGCCGTGCTGAACCTAAGCGGATTCTGATGTTGTGAATGGATCCGGATCACATTGGATCATATATGATCCTACCCGATAACGCACTAGGATCCGCGAACGCCAGATCATGAATCACTGGATAACAAAGCAAGGCTTATCACAATCCAACGTGGCAAATGCTTGACTTCATCGTAGCATTTGTTCGATCGGCATTTAACATTTTTAGAACTTGACACTCAACCAATTTGAGTAAATATGATTTAATTAGTTTTATTCATGATCTAATGTATCATTGCTAGATTATTTTGAAATTAAAAAACATGCTTATGCAAAAAAAAAAAAAAATCTGCAATCTAAATGCATAATAAAATCGAAAAATTAATACCATATCTATATGCATGAAGAATAATCAAATTCCTGACTACGACTATTTGATTGAAAATATCGAACACCATATTAATCAAGAATAATCTTCTACAAATATGAAGAATCGCTCAATCCAATTAAACCAAACTAATCATAAAATGCCATAGAAGTTAAAACCCTTGTTTTTTTCTTATTTTTTATAACCATTGGGCAGGATTTTTTTCCTTCCTTTAAAACATTAACAAAGAAATAAAATTTACATACATACATACATATAAGAGCCATTCAAATGCAGCAGCCACAATAGGCAGAAACAGATACAGGCATAAATTTTCCAGAAATACAAAAAATGTGAGAACAAAACAACTGAAAATTAAATACACCACAAATTGAAGGAGCTATTTCTCATATTCGAGGAACAGTTTATTATGAAGGTGGTGCAGGCTATGCCTTTGGCTTTGGTTTTACTTCGACTTCGTTTACATTCCGCACAAAGATGGCATCGGGCTCATGACTGCATGTTTAAATATTCAAAGTGGTATCAGCAACATCAAAAGATCCAACATATTCCCAGAGGTGACGAAATAGGTCTGATAAACTTACAGTGTGTCAGCCTCCTCAAATGTGTAGCTAGATGCTACGGCAAGCAGATGGCCGTCTCTGCTGAAAGATAATGCAGCAATGCTTGTTGGGTATTTTGAATACTATCAGAACAAATAAGTATTGTCAATTTTGAGTTGTTTCTAAACATCAATGTTAAAGGTTCGCCATTTCATGAAAAACTACCTGATAAAGTCTTTTCTTATTGTTGCCATCCCATAGGTTAACATAACCGTCGCAACCTCCCGTTGCAAACGTCCCATAGCTGACTTTTGGCAGTTACCATTAATTGAGAGGATGGAGATGCTTTAAATTTTCTATCTTACACAAGAAAATAGAAAATTGAATCAAGTGTAGTGCACAAAGAAATGTTATAAAGGAAGAAGTTCTCTTCCCATAATCATTTGTATATATTTAATCTTGATTAGATTTTGCACTATCATAGAGAAAGCTCATCCAACCATCCCCTTTATTCACTTAGATAACATGCCTCACATTACTTGTTCATGTATGCATGAATTACTTATGACAATAACAAGAAAATAGGTGACAACTAGGAATCTAAACATTCTACCAAATACGAGTGACAGGGGGCTTTTCTGATGACATAACTACATTATGCATTTTCCAATTGCACTCAAGCAAGCAAAGTGCTTATTTTGAGGAAGCATCATGTTCATAATGAGGGCATTTACTACATCAAATATCTTTTAGTCAAACAAAAAGAACAAATGTGAAATGCGCCAAGAATTTAGGTCTTGAAACATTAATAAAGACATGAATGCAGTACCATGTCGGAAGGTCAATTACTAAAAAAAAAGTTAGAACTTGGAATTACATTATTATCAATCCCATGTGACTAAGATAGGGCTCATAAAGCTAATTATCATGATCCATGAGAGTGCTAGAGTGATACCATAATGAGATCATGCACGGAATACAAAGGAAACATGTAATAAGTATTACACAAAATTAGCTTATAGCAGCACATGCCCATGTTGATCCTAGTTAAACCAACAATCTCCAATGGTATGTCATCGTAACATGCCGGCTATACAGATAAGTCATCCTAACACAGCGATGAAGGGGCAAATTAAAAGAAAAAAAATCTATTATTTAATAGTCTAAAACAGAAAAGAACAAAATTTTCTATTTTTCTCAACTCTTTTAAAGCAAATGTGTGCCAAGATTTCAATTAAAACATCTGTTGAGCACCAAATATTCCCTATAAAAGCTGAAATTTATCGATTGGCACACTCCATAGATGGATGAAGGATATAAAACTCGTTCTAGATCTAGAAATTAAATTGAAAATGCAACACTGATTGGAAAAAAAAATTATAAAGAAAGAATATGGTTGATAAATAGGTTCCAAATGTTTGTAAAATAGAAAATTATAATAACACACCCTGCATCAACTTCTGTGATGTCTAGAAAAAGAAAGAAGCCTAAAATCATACAGCCTATAGAGTATATAAAAGAAGGTATTCAGATTGCATGTCAAATTAGCCTCTCCACACAAAGGTAAGCCTCCATCATATGAAGCCACCAGCTAGCATCCGAGTGTTCTGCAATACCGTCCTAACTCCTAAGAAATATAAAGGCCCTGAGGAGCCTCAAAAAAAGCAATTCCGATCAATAATATAAACTGGCAGCTAAAGAGGTGGCCACTAAAAGAATAATAACAATAGGTCAGTACTTGTATCAGCTTCGGTATGTTGCAAATTGCCTACAGTTAATCTAAAAGCATTGGACATTTTCTAAGAAGAAAATTCAGTAGGTAGTGACAACAATTCCTAGGCCAATTGTGATTGATAATTTAATGCTGCAAATCCCCTATTTCCTAATTGGGAATAAAGAACTGATTGATTGCAAATCCCTTTGAAAATGTCCACAATAGCATATTTCCATCAAACAGTGAAAAGCCATGCAATTAACAGATATTGTCAGGTAATGCCGAGAAAAATAAAGAAGAAAGAGCAGTTCAATGTACAATGCTTTAGCAAATGCATGGTTCAGACAGGGCAGTTTTCCATGATTCAAAACCTAGTCATAAGTCATGAAGGCACAGCATTGCCATGGCCAAATTCTCAAAATGAAAACAAAAATCATCCCTTTAGGAAAATACACTATTTATCCTTGGAGGCTCGTGATAGACACAGATGGGCACTTGGCAACCATCACTGGATACAGCCCACCACTGTAAAGCTCCTAACTGGCAGATCTTTCATTAGCAGACTACATATTAACCCATATATAAGATATCTACGGATCTAAAACCATAATCCCACTGTGCTGTACTTATCAACGATCCACCGGATACAAATAGGACATGCTACAAAAAAAAAAAAAAAAAGCAATAATGGAACAAAAAAAATGTGATTGGTCAAACACAAGCATAATTATAGTGTCTTATTACCAGAAAAGCAGCAAGAGAAACAGAATGCATCGGAAGGACATTGCTCGCACGCACCTTCTAACCGTATGATCGGCACAGGCGCTGAACCCTGCTGAATCATCGTGGAAGCAGCAATCGAGGACGGGGCCAGCATGCACGAACTCCCCCTCGAGAACGTTCGCCCCGGCATCGTAAAGACGAAGACTCTGAGCAAAAGGGGATCAGGCAGGCTTAGCACAGGCGATGAAAGAGATCAAAAGACCAAACCGCAGCGACACAAGGTTAGGTTCCCTGTGTTGCTCGCGTGTATGTTAAGAGACTTGTTTACCTTATCCCAGGACGAGACGAGGAGGAGGTCGCTGTGGTTGGAGAAACGGAGGTTGGAGATGCCGTCGGAGGGAGGCCCGGATAGCTCCCTCCCGCCGGTGGTGGGCGGAAGGGTGGCAGCGGTCAAAGCGACCGAGATAGGATGAAGGAAATCGCGATCCGATGGGAGAAATGGATGGAACGATCAGCGGTGGGAGAGAGCGGGCGAAGGATTCAAAACCCTGTGCGGCGTGCTTGATTTCAATTTTGGATTTCGGGGGAGCGTTCGGCGAATAGCCAAATTGAACGACCGACGTGAGCACGTTCGACGTTATTTTGCTTTCTTATTGTTTCGGTGGCTTTGAGATTTGTGAACATCATATAATTGACACGATCAATTTTGATCGTCAACATCATATGAAAAGAAGATTGATTCGACAAGGCTCATTTTCGAGTGATGTGATGCGATGCGAAAATGAGTCATGACTCGAACTCGGTAGAATTTTTTAGGTCCAATACTTTTTGTTTTGTCTTAATCATGCATGTAAGCATCATATTCACATGCAAAGAATGCTTCGACCATACCAATGCAGTTAAAAATATTTTTCTTTACGAAAATACATAATATATTCATCCAAATATATATATATATATATATAATGTCATTAACCATAACATAATAAGTATGCCTCTTACATCCTTGCTATACTTGGAATTCACTTTCTATATCCATAATAAACAATAATACTAATTTGATTACCAAAATTTTTTTTATAAACACACTAGTTCAAAATGAGATATAATCGAAAAAAAAAATCTTCGAGTCGTGACTCTTTGTCCCATTAGAATATTTTTCCTTCTTCCAAACATAATAATGCTCGAAAATACGACATACTTAATGCACGAGACTCTCATCAATTCATCATTGTATACGATTCATAAATAAGACATACTTAATACTTAATGCACGAGACTCTCATCAATACGTGGTCTAGCAAGGATTAGTGTATACAGTTTGACCTTTAAATATTTAGAGAAATTGTTTCCATAATTCAAACCTCGATCTGCCACAAAAGAGCGGATACTGATCATGCTAACATACTACATATATCCATCATGAGTATTATAGAGAGTTCACCACTGTATAAGATTCATGCTAGCACATCACATACTCGGTTCATCCTGAGTACAGTATTACAGAGTAAGAAACAAAGTAAGTTGAGATTACATAGAAGATTAGTGACAGCCAAGCAGAGCTGGGATCAAGGAGACCCCCCATGCTTGGGGTGACCTGGAGGGGTCGGCCGGGGGATATAAGGCATGAGAGGAATTCCATGTTCGATCGGTCCGGTTTTAATGGTTGCTTTCGAACTTGGAGCTGGATCGAAGCTGGGATAATCCTCCACGTTCATACTCGTTGAATCCTTTGTACTTCTGATGGCGCCGGCAATGTAGCTGTTAACCTGAGAAGGATGCATGCCTGTTAGGCCATGTGAATCAGCTGAAAAACCATTAAATGATCAAATTGGTTGACAACAACAAAACATCCTCAGAAGAGAGGAGATGCACCAGAAAGGAGTATAGTTATGTGCTCAGGTCGTTTGCTATACTTGTGAAGGAAAACCAAGTAAAATAAGTTTGCTGATTAAACAATGTAAAATGTTGTTCCTTTCTTGGAAAAAAAAAGGAGCCTATGAACTCTTACAAGCCATTACTCTTCGGTTCCTAATCGATGTCGCACTATGTGGTATGTCATACGACAGAAAAAATCTGAGCTTGTGAGCTCTTACTAGTCATGACTCTTTAGTTAAGAGAATTTTTTTTTCTTTTTATAGAATTGTTGATTATCATATAAGCATAAAAATAAACTATGAATATGTTATTGTTATACAAAAAACTTTAATGCCAAAATCAAAATCAAACAACGATAGATCAATGTTAGGAAGATTTTGATGTTATTAGAAAAATATTTATTTGATCTGTAAACTCATCGTCGTCTGATCCGAAAGCTATAATGATAACGATCTGTAGGGAGAATCAGACTTGTCTTCTTCTTTTTTCCTATCATTTGCAGGACCATAAGTACTGAATTAAAGACTAAGAAAGATTGAGAATAGATCTATAATATCAATTTATGATATTTCACCCATAAGAGGTCCTACCTTTTATAAATGAGAGCATAGTGTCTAGGATGGTAATTAGGAGAGTCCCCATATCAAGATCCTAAAGAACTCTACCATAATTAATTTTTTTTTAATTGGTCGATAACCGTAATCAAAATCCAATCAAATTCATATTATATCTTACCTAATTAGATAGGTCCACATAATCTAACATTCTTCTACTTGATTCATTAATTGATAAGACATAAAAAAATAAAATCAAAATAAATAAAACATAAGTTTATTTAAAAATAATTTTACCTAATTAAATTTAAAAAATTTTGAAAAGCATTTTATACATAGTCATGAATTTTAAAATAAGCTAATAAGTCCAATAAATATAATAATACTACATTAAGTCAGTTACCGATGCAAGTCATAACAATTGTATATTAGACTTCCTTCTATATACCATAACATTGTTAATCTTTCTTTACGTAGTTTATAATGACCCCTGTAATTTATCTTGTCAAGATAATCCTGTTATCACATTCAATTATAATATACATAAACATAAATGTAAACATCATAACATAAACAAATAACCTTAATTAAGTAAAGAAGAATATCAATATTAATATCCACCTAAATATGCATCATCATATTTTTTTATGACTTGCTCATAAGCCTCATTCTAAGAACAAGTTCTTTAAATACTTTAGGTTACAAAACTTTAGTAAATGAATTAGCAATCATTAAGGTGGCACTTAGGTTCTCAATTGACATTTGTAATTTCTAGACTCTTGCTCTAACCATTAAGAAATTACCCCTCTAGTTAATATAAATATAAATCGTGAAATGAACTTCCTACTGCCAAGCTAATTTATAAAATCAACATATGAATATATCATCATTTCGAGATGTCTAATCTCTTGTATGTGAGCATATAGTCTTTCGTCCTCTTCAAATATCTTATCACTTTCTTTATAGATTTTCAATGTTCCATTCCTGAGTTTGAGCATATAATATAATTCCAACTACGTATACATAAGAAATATCATTCATTTGATTTATTTTTAAGTCATTCTTAGGACACTAGCTCTAACTTAATTTATCACCTTTGGTAATAGGTATATCATTAGTTGAGCAAAGCTGCATACTAAATCTCTCCAGAACTCGATCAATATATCATTTCTAGAATAGATAAATCAATTCCAAATTACATCCGCAAATAGCATGCATACGACAACAACATTCAGTGTTCCAGATTAAACATATACGCCTTGCGTCATTAACCCAGCAGCATGGAACATTCTACGTGCGATGGCACAGAGCACCACTTTGAATCATGTTTATGAAATGCCTCAAACTACCCTTTGGTGGGATAACACTACACCTAGCACTGAAGTCTAGTTGCTTTGAAATACAAGTCATACTTGCATTCATTTAAGTCATATTCCTAGTCTAGCATTAGAGACATTTGGCTATCATTAGGACACAAGCAGTGGATGAGTCGGTAATCTGTTGGCTATCATGAATCATTTCATCTGTTCCAGAACTAAAGTTACGGGCATGTTCCATAGTCAATTGAAGACAGTGCTCAAGCCACATATCACATACCTCCAGTTTCCTGTGGGTGATGACCGTCTTGACTCTTCCACCATGCATAGGCATGGCTGTTGTGCCTCCTTCATCAGTTGAGGCAGAGCCTGAAGATCCATTTAATGATATGTTCAGCAAAAGAGGAATCCGGTCAATATAAACACTCACTGAAAAGTAAAACAAAGCTATAGCATCCAAGATAATAGTAACTCATCAATGTGTTCAGCACAAAAGGAATCTGATCAATCACCAAGTAAAGCAAAGCTATAGCATCTAAAAGAATAGTAATCTATAGATACAGCAACTGACGGATACAATAGCTACGATCAGACACTGACAGCCCGAGAAAAAAGTAAACGTGAACAAGGAGGATCAAGCTAATGAATTGAATACATCACTGTCCTTTTGGCATGCCAAAGTGAATTATAATCCCCAGATAACTGTGATACTCCATCAAGCAGTTCAGAAGTATGATAAGATCGTAGATAATTCAGACACTAGTGAGGCATACAAAGGGTACAAGTCGGAAAGACATGCTAATGTGCTCAACTTTGGTTCAGGCATCACAAACTTTGCTCGACAGATTATGACATCGAGTTTATAGTCATTTATATGCGATGGCTATGGTCACTCTGTGAGTGCAGCGTCAACAGAAACACCAGAGTCAAAGAAAGATAAAAGGAAGTTATGGATGGTTTTAAGTAACTACAGATTTTGAAGTTAGATTAATCATGCAACAAAACAAATTTAATAACTTTACACAGAACCACAATGGCAGAAATGGATCAAAATGCCATTTTTCCATGTACTAAGACTAATCGATCACAAGTTCTCACAGCTACAAGGAACAAAACAGTTTATCTAAGAAAAAGGACAAAAAAAGGAAGAAAAATACCTGCAGCGATGGAGATGCTGATGCTGGAGGGAATGAAGAACGCAAGCACGGCCCCAGCGATCCAACCCATAGCAAAGAAGCGCAAAGATTTCATCTTTCTACCAAACTCTTCCGCTCACTCCTGCCTCTTAAGCTTTGCCCACAAATCCTGGACCAGGGGGATAACAAGAGCAGAAGAGAACCAGAGCAGCGAGCTTCACCCGCCACGGCTGGTTCCCGTCCATTTATTAGTCCTCACTCGGGGAGCCTGGCCGGGGAGGGGATTAAATGCTAAGAAGCGTGAGACGTCGAGCCGCCTTCGCGCAGAGATGAGAGTCGGTGTACGTCTGGGAAACAGGGCACGTCGATCTCGGTGGATTGCAGCCAAAGTCTCTGAGGACAGCAGTAATGGCTTCTGCTGCCTGTATGTGATGCGGGCTTCCTTTGCTTCTTCCCAAGAAAGTGTGAAAAGGATTCATTGTTGCCATAATTGTTAGGGCTTATGGGTTGGGCGCAACGCACAACTCACAAACACTAGCGTAGGAAATTAAAGTAACTGTTTGATTGGGCGCAAATTACGAGTCTATTTGCTCTCAAATAAAGCATTTATAATTAATAATTATATATATATATAATGAATTGAAAATAAGAGTGGATTGTTTCTTCCTACATAAATACATTAAAACAAGTATTTACATTTATAGTATTTATATTTATAATAAAAAAAAATCATATAAACATGTGAAACCGACTAACCAATAACTCCATTTTGATCCTTCAACCATAAATCAAAATATTTAAATAAAAATTAATATAATACATTCATCAAGTTCATATAAATCAATCATACATATCACTCACTTTTGATGTGGAACTAATGAGATATTATAAATCGATCCTAATTAAATTAAATATTATGACTTATCATTATTATTATATTTATGTTTAAAATATTTATAAATAATATACGTAGACAATCAAACGAGTCCTAAATTGCTCTCATCTAGATTGATTTTGACAATAATTTAGAATCAATCCCATGTCTCTTCCATACCCTTCGTCACTAATACCCATGTATAAATGCAATAAAATAGTATATCTAGTGCAATGATACTTGTACATGCATGAAATAATTGTGAATGGTAGGTTTAGACAATCAACCGATTCGTCAATGCTCTTTGTTTAAATAAATATTGATTGACACAAACACACATTGATTTAGTTGGGGTCATTGCTGCCTTCCATCAAACACATGTCTGATGGTGAGATTTCCAAAGTAGATGATGATATCAAGGTTTTGGTCCAAAGTCTACTGGCGAAGAGCATGGGGTGGGGGCAATCGGAGTCTCTTGTTCTCTCTCTGCAATGTTTTCATGGATTTAGTATGGTGGTGGTTTTAATATATTTCACATCCAAAACTTTCCAAAGATTAAACCTTGTTTTTTTCAAAGAAGATTACACTTATTAAGACGTATATAAACAGAGAGTATAGAAAATATAACGGACATACAAAGAGGAAAGAAGAAAAACTTGACATTCAAATAATTTCAAACTATTGTTTATCTGAACATAATGTTAATGTAGAAAGAAAAAATTTTTTTGGAGCAATTGATGGACAAAAACCCTGTGGACATTGAAAAATTAAGCAAATCGATTAGAAAAAAAAATACATATAATTCATCAATTAGGTACCTTAATTTGTCCATTCACAAATTACATAATCGTTCTAATTTATAACAATCGTCCTAATCATAAATTACTATAACAATCATACAGAATTAGCATTTGAAGTTTGGATGGATAGAATAGTCTGTAAATATAAAAATTATTCTTATTCTTCTATTTTGTAAAAAAAATTAATATCAATATCTGAAATCAAATAAAATAGATTTAATTTTTAATGTGTACATTTCAATACTATTCAGAAACTTTTTATCTAATCTAAATCGATATATAATGAGAACTAGGTTTACTTTTTTCTATCTTTATATCCTTCACAGGATTGCTATAAACCATGGATTAAAACGATGAATTAAAAACAAATAAGAGATAAGAAAAGATATATAATCTCTTATTAATTGATTTTACTAATCATATACATCTCCAAAAGGTTATATCCTTTCTTATACGAGAGTATAGATTCTAGAATACGTAATTAGGAAAGTCTTTTCCATCAAGATCAATTTCTAAAGAATTCTACCACAACAGCATATAGTGACGTTGCACAGCCACCATAACCATCTTATATAGTGATATTTTACAACTGTTGTAACTATCATAGTCACCACAGGTAGTAGCATTGTATAGCCATCTCAACTATCATAGATAGTAGCATTGCTACAACCGTCACATGTAGTAGCACTGTGCATTCATCATAAGGTTGTCACATCTTACAATGCTTGCATTGAGCACACAACAATTGCTCGCGACTAAGCTGATAACTATCAGAAGCCATCACCCTTAACAATACTCTTACCAACAACAAGTTGTTGACAATGATCCATCGATCAAACACAAAAAACCTCATATTACTTACAAGCAAGTGATAGGATGAACTAGATAAAAAAATAGATCAGCAATACAGATGAATTATTTATGCATTATAAATAAAATTTAAATAATATATTTATGCAAGCAAAGGTGTTAACAAATAGGTTTAAAATATTTGATTTCATAAACGTAACTCTAATATCAATTATAAACATAAAAATTATCTTGCTTCTATACGAAAAAATTTTAATATCAAAATCTAAAATCAAATAATTTAATATTAAAATTATGATACGTATCTTTCGATGCTATTTAAAAAGCTTTATCTGATCTGAGGACATACTATCATCGGATCCAAAAAACTATAACAATACCAATATGAAAGAAGAATTAGATGTATATTCTTTTCTCTTCCTATCTTTCACAAGACCTCTATAAGTAATATACTAGAATAAAGATGAGATAAGAGAATATTTGTAATATCTCATTTATCAATTTTACTAGTTGTACTTGTTACTGTAAGGTTCTATCTTTTTATAGGTTAGAACAAAGGGTCAAGAATAAGTAATTATAAGAATTTCACCCATGAAGGTTATCTAATAAAAAATCATATTATAATTAGATTTTTTTTCTTCTATTGATCAATAATCATAATCAAAATTCAATCATATCTATAATATATATTACGTAATTAGATAAAACCATATAATATAATATTACTTGATATTTTTCATAAACAATCGAGTTAAATCATATCTGTTCTTCAAAATCCTTAAACTTAAACCTCAATGCATAGATTTATGAATATATATATATATATATATATATATATATATATATATATATAGAAGGAGTAAAAGTTTTTCATCATTTGTTAAAACCAAAGCTTTGTACCATAAGATGATGGAATGATTATAAAAATAATAATTATTAAGATATCTTAAAATAATTATATATGTCAATTATGCCCAAATGTGTGGTTACCTACGAGGATCCATCCCGAAAGCGAAAATAAGAGATATTATCTATTATCCACGTGGATACGAGGCAAATCTAAGGTTCATTCTAATTATTAGCACCGAATCCAATTAATTTTCCTAAAACTATCCTTATTTTCAGACCAAAGAAATTCCACAGAAGCTTTGTTGATTTATGTGTTTGATAATTTTGATTAAAATATGAGTTGACATAAGGCAAGGCAAAGTAGGGAGGGATGCCATTGATATCAGAATTTATTAGGATAGATTTCTTTTTGTCAACCTTAAATTTTATTCAAAACTCTATCAACTATTTAATTTTGAGATCTTTTATGGCATTCTTTCAAAGGATACAGACTAAGAAAAGATACATCTGAGAAACATAATCTTCTTTCGAATGGATCTAAATGAATCCTTAGATTTTGACAATTAAGATGTGCGAATAATTTGTGATCCCCAGTATCATAATTTGAATCAGGAAAATAATCTCACTATCAATAAAGAAAAAAAAATTACATCTCACATTGACTTTTGATGTCAACTTTCTTATACATCTACATTTCGAGACCATATGATAAACTCGAGGAGATGATACAATCCATTAGCAATTTTACTTTAAATTCTCTAGTAATAAACATCACAATAGTTTATCTTCAAAATGAATCCTAATAATTCCATGAATTACATATATATATTCTCTTTAGGCACATAATTTACCCAATTTAAAGGGTAAGGTGTGTTTATTGTGGAGAATTAATGCAAAATAACCATAGCTCAAACAATAAAAGTCGGCCTTTGTATTGATGGTAATCACCTCGGCTTACCTGACTCGTCATTGGAGCACTCATCGGAACCCCTGTGTGGGGTCCGCCCTGCGATGCCTCCGATAAAGCAAGTTGGTCTGACGTTGCCGGGTAGAAACGGATAGACCCACCGCCTCTTGTTGTCGTGCCCTTCGTCGACGCTCTCTGCTCTGCCGCCGCTCGGTCTTCGCCGCCGATCCGCCTCTCCTCGCCATGGATCCCTCCATCATGAAGCTCCTCGAAGAGGACGAGGTCCTTCTTCTTCCTTGATTCCTTGGTTGCTTTCTAGGAACTTCCTTCTCGGTTCTCTCTGCCCTAAGAGCAAGAATTAGAAGGAAATTTGTGTGTTTGCTTCTTTGCAGGACGAGAGCATGCATTCCGGTGCCGACGTGGAGGCCTTGTCGGCGGCGCTGAACCGCGACATCGGAGGCGATCCCGCCGCGCTTGCCCGGCCCCCGGAGTCCGACACAGGTCAAGCCCTTGTTGTTATCTTTGTGGAAAACTCCTCTTTTTCTTAGTTTCTTTTGAACTGCATGAGCACACGGTTGCGAGCCTCTCTACCCCATGATTGATCCGGTACGCATACCATCTGTATGTTCTGGTGACCTGCATGCTACTCGGAGAGAAGGGGAAAACAATTCCCTTGCAAGATAAGTCTAGGCAATTGCACTCGCAGATACCGTTGCCCTAGTATTCCTTACTTAATTTTCATCGTATATTGTCATTCAAATGCTTCAATACAAAAAAAGGAACTGAATAGAGAACAGGGCGTCTATAATAGTACCTATATTGGGATACGATGGGTGAATGTGGATGATCCGGTACGGGGATCTGTTGCAAGCTGCACACTTGGATCTGACTCTGCCCAACCTGTGGATGAAATGGCAGCAGCCGTAGCCTTTCTATTCTCTGTAACATAACCAGGATGCGACTAAATGATAAGATCTTCTAATTAAAGTCATATTAATAACGTTGCTAGGATGTGTTATGATGTTGAAAGGAGTTGTATGAATAGGACTTTTGGAACAATGTGTACGAAACAATGGAACTGCAGACTTGTGGAGTGGTCTCTGGAGACAATGTTTAGTGAATAGCATGTAAATCGCAATGGAACAGTTAAATGGTAAACTACTGAAGCACAGATCTTTTATGATTTTTAATGACTAGGGTTGGTCCTG